GTGTGATGAGCAGGTGACATCACTACATTCCTATCATTCTTCCTTGGGAGGTTAACATGGGCCTCAAATGGCTGCTGCCTCATGTCTTCCACTTCTGTCCAAGCATCCTTTGGAAGGAAAGTAAAGCCTAGTTCCAATCAAAATCCCATTTTATGGAAAACCTCTCAATATCTTCCACAAACAATCCTCAGAGTTAAGTACAAAATTCTCTTGGATAAGATTTTACCTTGTGATTCTTCAAATAGCCTAGGAAACAATTTTGAAATTCACACACATCAGGTTTTTTTTTAAGACAACATCATATAAACAATACCAGAATAATTATATTGCATACTTAAAAATACACATTCAGATATTTTCAGTCCACTCTCAGATATCTACTTTTTAGAGAGGCTGCATCCAACAGTTTTCTCTTCAGTCCTAGGAGAAGGTCAGTCAGAAAACTGTCATTTGGAATGGTGCTACAATCACATTCTCTCTCCTCTCTCTCTCTCCTCTCTCTCTCTCCTCTCTCTCTCTCCTCTCTCTCTCTCTCTCTCTCTCTCTCTCTCTCTCTCTCTCTCTCTCTCTCCTTCACTCTTTCCCTCCCCTGCTCTCTCTCCCTCATGAATTGTCTCACAGGTGTTGTATTTCAGAAATCTTGGAGTCTGTGATCTCAGTCAACATAGAAAACTCTCAGATAACTTCCAAGAGCCATTCTAAAATTGTCTGTAGCTCAACCTTTCCTTTACATTTTCCTTGATAATGACTCATAAAGTGTAAGCCCCGAGCTGCTCAGTAGTCATGCTAGTTGCTCAGTTTTCTACTAATTCGACCTCTGTCATTTTGTACCTAATTTTAAAGCTCTCTAAGTTTGAAATTCTTCATGTTAGAAAGATTTCTACTACTTTACCCCTTGGTCACTCTAAGCATCCAACACTGGAGCTAAGGCTCGCTGAAAATGTAAACACCCCCTTCTACTTTTCCACCAAGACAGATAACTCCAAGGGAGACGATGTTGAGCCAAAGCTTTTATCTTTGTGGCTAATAAGATGGTTAACTGAATTTTCTTCAATCTCCAAATTCCTTCTGGTGTCTCAACTCTTTCTGGATAGTGAGCAAGAGAGAATTTTATCTACCTCTGTTGGCCAAACAATGCTATTTCACCTTTCCTCTTCCATCTCCAGGCAGATAGATAGACCCTATCGGCTTTCACCTCCATAGTATCATTGTGCTGACATCTGTACTGAAATTCCTGGGCTTCTCCTGTCTGTGCCCATTGACAGCACTGCTTCTCTGCAGCAGAGGAGGCGATGGGATATGTCTAAAGAGTGGGATGGTCAAGGCAGGTTTGCAACAAGTACTTTCGCTTCTTACTTTATGTTGCTAAGCAACGCAAGCCAAAATGTTATTTGAACTATGCTCTGAGACTATGCTTGTGAGCACTTTCCATGGACCAATCCCTACGGTATTAGATCTCAACAGGCATCTCATTAGAGAAGGCGAAGTCCAAAGGCTGCCAGGGCTTAGAGAGACCCTTTAAAGACTTATCTCAACTGAAACCTCCAATCCGATGCCTAGTAATTGTCACTTCTATTCCACCATTTCCTCCTATTATGTCACAAGTTTCTTCACCAAAATTGTTCCACTCCTCTAGTATCTTTCTAGTTTCAAAGTTTAATTAAACTAACTGTGAAGACTCACCCAAAGCTTAATGACTCCTTAATTAGCTTTCTATTGCTGCCTCCAGATATTGCTTCTTTACCTGCAATTTCTCAGAATGGTGGCTGAATGTGGATTAAACCACACATCACTTCCTGTTCTTGTTGCAATGACACACGGTAATTTTTTTACAGGCCCCTCTGGGACATAAGCATTTTCAAAGGGAAAACCCATGCCTATGGCAAACACCGCCAAACTGGCCTGCACAGAGCCACGTCCAGGTTTTCCACATAAAGTACATTATCTTTCAACAATCTTGGCACCACTTACAATTTGTTTATCTATTTTAAAGAGACTCCTCATCCTTCACTGCCCATCTTTCCAAAGGCTATCTCACCCTAAAACCTCCCTGAATTTACGATCTAATTCCCTCCATCCAAGGGCATGGTGTTCAAGGATATAGGCTTGGTGCACAGATTTAAACCCAGTTCTGCAGCCCATTATTTGTTGATATTGGGCAAGGCACTTAACATTCCTGGACCCTAATTTTCTAATGGGAACAGGATAGTGACATCTACATCACAGGATTACATTCTTCCATAAGGACGAAATAAGTTAATTTCTGAAGTTCATAAAATAGTACCACCATCTCATAAACACTCAGTAAAACTAAGACCTTCCCCGTTCTCTCTCCTGGTTAGCAACCTCCACTTGGCAATGATTACTTTGACTGTTGGTGACACACCTTTTGCTGTTGCTAGAACTTAAATTTAAATCAAGTGTTATTGATGGATTTTTAATAGGGATATCTTATTTTCTTAAATAAGCTGCACATCTCTGGAGCTTTGGTGAACTCTGATTATTGAACATTTGCTACATGCCAAGAACTTGGCTGAATACATTCTGTAAATTTTTCATGCATTACTCACAATCACAGTATAAGATGGCTATTGTTTGCAAGCTGTACATGAAACAGCACCAGAGAAGGCTTAGGGAATAGCTCCAGTTTTCTAAGCTAGTATGCTATAAAGGTAGGATAGTTCTAAGATCATTTTTTATCTGTTTTCTGATTGAATAACATTCACCCTTTGATACAGTTGCTGCAGTTGCTCAGTTTATCACTGCAGATAATGTTGCACAATATCTGAAGCACACACTCAGAATTTAGCTTTTTTACTTTTAATATATCTTCACTATGGATGACTTACTTTTCATCATTAACTTTTTTTCAGTTTAAGATGAATTCTAACAACACCCTCCTCCTATTACAATGAGAGAGCAATAAAGTTTTACTATATTCTGATATAAACAGACACCTTTGCTTGTTTCTGTCTTAGTATTTTCCATGCATTTGTGCCAATTTCCATAATCTTATGTTTAGCCTCACCATTTTATTTCATTGGATTGGGGCTGTTTCTACAGTGAACTTGCTAGTGTTGGGAGAAATGCTAAGGAACATTTGTTCCAAATCTTTGAGTCACCAAGGTGGAAAACTAGGCTCAGGGAATAGATGGACCTGCTAGCAACACTTAGCTATTCAGGGAGAACAGCAGGAACCAGAATCAAATTTCTTTTAAAAATTATTTTTTAACAGTTAATTGCTTATTTAGTGCATGCATAGGTGCAAAGAATGGGCCTGGGAGATGTGTGAGCCACAGTATTCTGGTGGAGGAGGTCAGAGGACAACTTAGAGCAGTCAGTTCTGTTCCACTATGTAAATTCTAGGGATTGAATGGTTACCAGGCTTGGTGGCATATACCCTGAACCTGATGTCACCTTGACTGTCAACCTGACATGCCAGTGAAGGAGGAGCCACCACTGAAGAATTGTCTCCCCCATCAGATTGGCCCGTGTGCCAATCTGTGGTCAATGTGTCAGTGTGTAATTTTCTTCACTGCTAATTGAGATAGGAGGGCTTAGCCCACTATTGCCCATCTCTATGCAGGTGGGCTTGGGTTGTGTGTGAAAGCTGGCTGCACTCTTGGAGAAAGCTAATAAGCAGCATTCCTCCATGTTTTCTGCCTAGAGTTTTTGCCCTGGCTTCCCTCAATGATGGACTGTAACCTGAAAAATGAAATAAAGCATTTTCTCCCCAAGTTGCTTTTGGTCATGCCACTTAGCACAGTAAGAGAAAAGCGAACCAGAACACAAGCTGAGCCAACTCCCTGGCTCCATGGCTCCAGAATCAGAGCTCTTTATCCTAACCTCATATCCTTTTAGCTAAATTACAGTGACATCTGTGTACAGGAAGTGTTTGCTTCACAGTCACATCTACTCCATACACTCGCAGCTTGGGCCAGTGGCCTCAGTTTTCCTTTCACTGTGCATCCAGAATAGGATATTAAAGAGAAGTCATACAGACAGGAAATATTTGAGGATGCAAAAGCCTCTTTGGTTTTCTGCCTTGGAGCCTTACTCATTACTGCCACCCAAGTGACATTTCTCTACACATCCTTCCAGTTCCTACTCAGAAAGCACACAATGAGACTAACACAAAGGAGAGAACAAAATGTTTGGAAACTATCATATCACTTTAAATGGGGTAGCTCAGTATCTCTTAAATGTAATGATAAAACTTGCTTTTCTATTTCACAGTTGTTAATATGCTGCAGTTTTAAATTTATTTTCCTAGAATTGATTTACTTACATGCTACAAAATACCATTAAACATGAGATTGGACAGCAAACAATCTCATTTAAGATTGGTTTAAAGGTTCAGATTCAAGGGTGACTTCCTGTTCTTCACAGTGTTCACAGAGCGTTCATAGGACCCCTGCCTTTTCCTCTATGCACTCATTATCACTTATGTGTTTGCCTCAGCCCTTATGCATTACAGCTCCCTTGACAAGATGTGTCCACAGCATCTCACAAATGCCACGTCCCTCCAACCTATACTAAAAGACTTGGAAGAAAACAGCAGCTGTTCACAGTTATTCATAGTTTTGAAGAAGGAAGAAGTGACAAATAGAGATATTATCTTCCACCTGAATGGAGTGATGGTGAGACTCCAGAATACAATTAAGCAGTATCAGATTCCAAGTTTTACTCATAAATGTTTAGACCTACATGGACACAATATGAACTACTTTTGCCTCATACAAAAAAATAAATTGTCCAAAGTGTGTCTTGATTTTGCATATCAAATAACTCTAAGACCCACAGAGGTTTTAGTATAAACTTACTGTATACCCTATTCATGGCGGTCTACTCAGAATAGCACAGTGCTGTGTGCGTACATATTACCTCTCATGCAATGGATGTAAACACTGCACCAGTGCAGTTGATGATAACCCCCATCCATCAGTAGGGAACAAGGAACAAGGCATTTAGTTCGAAAGTCAGCTCCAGGCCCCACTCACCAAAGTAGTCATCAGCAGGGGGATTTTCCATGTCATACAGCATCTTCTTGGTCAGGTGCTCGAGCTCATCTTCTGGCCGGAATGATGCGGGGATAGAAGGAGGCCCCATAGGCCCAGGGTGTCCACCCTGAAAGAAAACACATAACCATTTAATTGTAGTCTAAACATCCACTACAGCAGTCTGCTTAACCAAGGAGGAAGCAGCCCAGGTCGATCCATTTGTACACCCATGTTGTGCACTAAGATTTATTACTTATCCAGTGTCTGACCTTTGATATAACACACTATCCACTTCCCTTCTCTAGATGAGTCTATCACACTTTAGAATTTGTGTTTCCAATAGTAGGAATATAATTTTTCAATAACAGATGAGCAAAGTGCATTACTTAGGAAGATGAGCACTAAAGGCTATACAAGCTAGAGGAAACTCTGCAGGCATATCAGTGAAGACAGAGCCTCTGGAGAGAGGGCACTGTAAGTAGATAAAGGAAGCTCCCTAGAAGAGATTGCAGAGAAAAAGTAAATAAGACTTCTTTTTGTACCTAGCTGAAAGACCTCAGGTACCATAAAAAGCTTCCAGCAATTGTGTTTTCCTGTTTAAATACAATGTTTGAGATAGCAAATGAGGTGAATCAGATTGGTTTCTGGTATCCAGAAAGCAAAGGGATTTTATTCCAGTTAAGGAAGCTCAGCAAAGTTGTTTTCGTGCGTGTGTGTGTGTGTGTGTGTGTGTGTGTGTGTGTGTGTGTGTGTGTGTGTGTGTATGCGCACGCGCGTGCTCGAGTGTTTTCTTGTTTTTTTGTTGTTGTTGTTTTTTTTTTTTTTTCCCCTAAAGCCGTAAGCAAGCAGGCATCAAATGGGGATGAGTGTCCAGTGAGACTGCAGAAGTGCCATGTAAGAGAAGGAAAAATCAGGCAAGAAAGTATTGGAGACAGCCGATTATTGTCCCAATGTGTGCAAAGAAAGGAAGGTGAGATGGTAGAGGCAAAGGAGCGTCATGCTATATACTGGAAAGTTAGCTCACTAGATTTTCCTTTCCCACATTTCAACTTTCCCTTGTAAATAGCACCCCATATCTTTAATCAGGAAATTACAAAAAAAAAATGCTGTTATGAACAGTTTAGAAATGAGAACAGCACTGGCCACTGTCAACTGGAAGAGAGGTGGACAGATAGTGTGCTTGCTTGGTGTTTACAACTCTTGCAATAGTTGGGTGAGAGTTTCAGTTGTCAGAATCTTTAACATGTAAATCCTACAAAGCTGGAAGCTAGGTATTCATTCTCCCACCATCTTCACTTTACCCTAGGAGTTATCAGACACAGCATCCTGTAACATATACTTCCCTTTACAGATGTTATCATGCCTCATGTGGCTTTGACTTGAGTGACATCTAAAGCATAGAATCTAGGCCTTGTTGACACTAATGAGACTTCATTGATAGTGGTTTAGTCTTTTATCTATACTATTTCCCCAGGTTTTGAAATATACATAGTGTGTAGTAGGGAACATGCTCAAAGTAAAGAGCCCAAGAAACTTTGGTTGGCCATTAATCTTGTTCTAGGATGTTGTTCCCTGTTAGAATATTTGCATTAGATATGGTAAAGACATGGGCAGGCTTCTGCCAGCTGCATGATCTTCTCTTTGAGACAGGGAACATGAAATGCCAAAAGATCAGGACAAAGCTAGTTATGGTGAAGTAGGACAGGAGTCCATGCTAGACGAATTCATTTATTCAGTGAACATTAAACATTACAACTAGAGCGGCTTCTCAACTGCAGACATTCTTTTACCCTAAAGGCTAAAATAAATAATAAAGAAATGATTCAATCATTAGATATTTTTTAGTTTATCCAATAACTCTTCTTTTTTCTAATTATTAGTTATTTGAGAATTTATTATATTTTGATCCTATTTACCCCACTCCAAATCCCCCAGATTCATCTCTGCTTCCCCACCCATCCAACTTTGTATAATCTTTTCATTAAACCCATCAAGTAAATTTGTGCTGCCCATATACCTTAGATATGGTCTACACACGAGTGTGGATGTCCTACCAGGTGCTACACAGTTAAAGAAAACAGACCCATCCACTCCAAGCAGCTATTAGCTTAGGGGTGGGCCTTCATGTACAGCTATCTTCTCCTTGCTGGAATTTTGTCTTGCTTGAGGCTGCATAGATCTTAAGTATACTGTTAAAACCATGGGTTCACATACACAACCATCCTGCTGTACAAAAGAGACACTGTTTCTTTGTGGTCATCCACCACCTCTTACTCTTACACTCTTTCCTTGCCATCTCCCTCAATGAGCTCTTAATCTTGGGAGGAGATGTGTGGTACAGATGTCCCATTCAGGACTGAACGTCCTGCAATCTGTTTTCTGCACTTTGGCCCACTGTGAATCTCCATGTTAACTGTCATCTACTGAAAACAGAAGTTTCTCTGATGAGAACTGGGAGAAGCACCAATCTAAAGCTCTAAGTCATTAGGAGTTGGTTGAATAGTATGTCTATTTAGCAGAGTAGGAGGAGGAGGAGCCGTTTTTCATCTAGGGGCTATGAATTTGGTGTGAGCTGTTCATATAGTCATTGGTGTGACTCCATCCACTGGAGTGTGTGGTTGACTGTTCAGGAGCCACACCTCTGAATCTTCTTCTGCAGAAGCCACGTTGTCCATAGCTCCTCAGTTAGGAGGTGGGGCTCATGAACTCCATCCCATACTACGCTATAATGTTGACTGGCTTGATTTTGTGCAGCAACCACAGCTACTGAGTTCATGAGTGTGGTCATCCGGCCAAGTCAGAAGGCATTATTTTCTCTAGTCCATTCTGACCTCTGGAACTTACAGTTTTTCTGCCCCCTCTTTTACAATGATCCCAAGCCTTAGAAAAAAAAAAAAAACCAGTAATATAGTTGTCCTGTTTGCAGCTGTACATTCCATAGTAGTGGTCTCAATCTTCCTAATGCTGTGACTCTTTAAAACAGTTCCTTATGCTGTGATGAGCCCAAACATAAAATTATTTTGTTGTTACTTCATAACTGTAATTTTGCTACTGCTGTGAATTGTATTGTAAATATCTGATATGCAGGATATCTAATATGCGAACCTTATGAAACAGTAATTCAAACCCCAATGGAGTAGCAACTCACTACTCTATAGTCATTTATTCTCTGCACTTTGACCAGCCATGAATTTTGTGTAAACCACTATCTACTGCAGAAAGGAATGTCACTGACCATGTCTGAGAACTGTAGTAATCTATGGGTAGAGAGATGTAGATTTAGAGGAAAGTTTAATACTATGTCCATTGAGCAAAATTATAGTGTTATTTTATGTATTAGCCTATATCCTATAGATGCATAGTACTGGCCCTTGCTTTGGAGTGTGCATAGGGCCTGAAATCCAACAAGAAAGCACGTGCTTAGCCCAACAACATTAATGCCACTACTATCCCACGGACATATCTTGCCACACTACTCATTAATGAAGTTCAGAGTTCACAGCTGGGTAAGACAGCTGGTGACTTTATTTTATGTTATGTAAATGCTACTTTTGAAATTCATGAAATGGGACTTTTTTTTTCAACCACAGTAACTTCAAGTGACAAAGATATGCTGGTTACTTCTAAACTCCTGGAACAAGTTTGTAAATAAATCCATGCCAAGTGGAGGATTCCAAGAGTAGAAAACGTCAGAGTTGAGAAGAAATTTTGTGTTAGTGGGGAAAAATTAAATGACCCCATGCTTAAATCTGGAGTGAAGAAGATAGAACGGAATTTTTAACTGGTTGCAGTCTCATGATAATTAGATACCTGAGGCTTTGCTACTAGTCAGAAGCCCATGGTTGAGATTATGGATAATTCTAAAAATGGTGACAGAAAGCCAATATGATTTGGAATTCTTTGGCAAGTCTATGAACTTTGGATAAGTTCAGATTTCCTCAGTCATTATGAGAAGCACAGTGAGATAAATTGAACAATTGCAGAGCACTGTGAAGAAGGGGCTATGCCTCAGGTGGCAAAATAGACAATGGATATGGGAAGAGGAGCAATTGCTTTCCTTCAGGTGTTCAATAAAAGGAGAGGTGGAGTACAGGTTATGCTGGTATTTAAACCCAAATTGTACCCACACACCTTTTCCTCCAAGCATGTATTGCACATGGCTTCCAACAGAGAGATACTGGAAAAGCGGAGACTATCACTGCTAATGGCTCTAAATGCTAGCTGCTTTAATTTACTCAACAGTCACTAAAGAGCACATGATATCTCTGCTTCCAATGGACATACTTTATTATTGTCTCAGAATATGTATCCTTATTTTAATAAGCAAGAGGTAAGAAACTAAATTCATTTCCCACAAAACTAAGGCAGAATTGTCTACCCTTAGCACTTACATTTCCAAAAGACTAATTTCAAAGTACTGTCAGTATTTCACAGATGTTTTTTAAAAGAATCATCCTTTCCAGTCTTCAAATATTCTTGTCTGTTTTGCTTGCCAAATTTAGAAGGGCTCTTTACATTAAAATTCCATTTTGTATTTGATGTTATCAGACTTAGCATGCTGATATGTCCCTATAAACTCACTGTAAATTGAAAACATAGTAAGTCAAAGGAGCCCTTGATACACCTCACATACTGGTCATCATAGCACAATAATGCACTAGAAGCATTGGCTGTTTGTCATGTGACATGGGAGCTGTAGCCCATTGCCACTGTGCAGCATCCTGAGAGAATATCCTACTAAATATCATTAGCTTGGGAGGAAAAAAAAACCCTCAGATTTGTGTAATTTCTATGAAATGGACATTACTGTCACAAAACATAAAACTGAAAGATCACAAGTAGAACCATAGTTAAGTTGGGGACCACATCTGCACAGTTAATTGAGAGCTAGGTCTTATGAGGAAGGACCTAGATGATTTCAGAGTATTTTGAATTTTGTCTACATGACTGCTACCCACACCCCATCCAGTGTATAATGAGGAATACCTCTGGAATAAATGCTGGAACCACAGATTCTTTAGATAAGGGTTGTTTTTTTCACCTCAGGGAGGATAGCCTAAGACACTGAGTTCAATACTGTAAGAAATTTTGTATTCACTGACAGACAATTATCCCTGTAATTTCTCC